ATTATGAACAAAAGTCAGGCTTAGTCGCTTTTCCATTAGTGGCTTAATTCAAGCAGCAAGAAAATCAGCGTCAGCTTTGAGGTTATATGACTCACGTTGTTTTTTAATAAAACTAGGTGGAATGTTGAATAAAGAAAATGAAAGAAATTAAGCTGAACAAGTTGACCACTGATGTTGGTTGAAGGCTCATAAAACAAGGCTGACTAGGAAGGAAGGTATGTGCACACTGTACTTATCGCACGACAGAGCAGACGACTCCCGTCAAGAGCATGAGGTCCAAGTACAGCGTGTCTACAGGCCGATCTTACCTGCAATCGCTATGAATATGCCCCGCTGCCTGCTCTCGACAGCTCGGAGGATTTTCCGAATGGCAGCTCGAAATCCTAAGCGCTGTCGTCAGATCAGCGGAAGTAGCCGTGAGCACAGGAGGCTGAAGTGTGACTCTAAGCTTCGTTGCCGTGCCAACGGAACACACTTTACTCCTCATCGTCCGGCGTGCTCTCTGCCGTCCCCGAGCCCATGGGCTTCGTAAAGCCGTGTGCTCTCTGAGCGGCCCTCGGCGCCCGCCTCTTTTTCGATTACTGCTTAGCTTGTCACACGCATTCGCAAGCACCGCGCCCTCTCGCACATTCATTTCGTCCCGCACATGCTCTCGATCTTTTCACCCTCACCCTCATAACAACCATCTGCCCATTTTCGTAACTTCCCAAGTTGATTTTACGGACTTCCAGGCTCCGAGCTTTACGTCCATTATTTTCAGCTAATCAAATTTTGTTTGACTCCTTTTTTAGTACAATAGATTCGCTACTGTCATCATTTTATACATTCCAATTTCCAATGAACCTTGTTCTCAACTGTTAGTGCAAATGCATCAATTTCATCTCAGTTAGCTGCCTGTTTTCCGTAAAAACCCATTTTCTTCTTAATATGAAAAAATTTTGCCTACCCTAAAATTCTCATACGGTGAGCAATCAAAAAGTTCTGTTCTGCCTAAAAAGTTCCTTTCCCTTGCCTGAAATTTGTTTGAAATTAGGTGAGTCTTTAAACGATTATTCATAGGATAACAAGATGACATCTCTCCATTTCCATTGTGATAGATCCGTTAAAAATTCATCATTTTTAGAAAGATGCTTGAATGTCTCCAACCGCTCACATTACATAACCCCC